ATATTAGTATAATAATTGCATGTGTATATATATATATATATATATATTATGTATAATAATTGCATGTGTATATATATATATATATATATATTATGTATAATAATTGCATGTGTATATATATATATATATATTATGTATAATAATTGCATGTGTATATATATATATATATATATATATTATGTATAATAATTGCATGTGTATATATATATATATATATATTATGTATAATAATTGCATGTGTATATATATATATATATATATATTATGTATAATAATTGCATGTGTATATATATATATATATATATTATGTATAATAATTGCATGTGTATATATATATATATATATATTATGTATAATAATTGCATGTGTATATATATATATATATTATGTATAATAATTGCATGTGTATATATATATATTATGTATAATAATTGTATGTGTATATATATATATAGATATAGATATAGATATAGATATAGAAGAGTTAAAACTGGCAATTACCTCACTGGCTGATGGCAAAGCACCAGGAGTAGATGGAATACCCAAGCAAGATATGGAAGCACGGAGGAGCCACTCTAGCCAACAATCTACTAATGCTAATTAAGCAAGCGTGGAAAAAAGGCACTGTGCCTCAGGAATGGAAAAATGCTAATATTGTGACCATTTACAAAAAGGGAGACCGGACTCTCTGTGGTAACTACAGAGGGATCTCACTACTATCGATTGCTGGGAAAGCATTCGCGAGAATACTCCTCAATAGACTAAATGCCCACATAACACCAGAAGTTGTGCCGGAGTCACAATGTGGATTCCGCAGCAACCGAAGCACTGTAGACATGATCTTCTGCCTCCGCCAACTGCAGGAAAAGTGTATAGAACACAACAGACCTCTCTATGTTGTCTTTGTCAATTTCACCAAAGCATTCGACACTGTTGGAAGGACTGGGTTATGGCAGCTCCTCAAGAAGTATGGATGCCCTGAGAAGTTCACAAAAATGATAAAGTCACTGCACACGGGTATGACTGCCAAGGTCAAAGAAGCTGGTGAGACATCTGACAGCTTTCCTGTAAGCAATGGAGTGAAACTAGGATGTGTGCTGGCTCCAACACTATTTTCGATCTTTCTCTCAGCAGTGTTGGAGGATGCCTTTGCTGACCTCGAGGAAGGTGTATACATATAATGTCGACAGGACGCAAACCTCTTCAATGTATCACACTTCAAAGCAAAGACAAAGACAACACAGATCCTCGCAAGAGAACTTCTCTTTGTGGATGACAGCGCACTAGTTGCTCATACACCAGAGCAAATGCAGCGGGTACTAGATGCATTTTCATCTGCATCAAAGAGATTTGGACTACAAATTAACATAAAGAAGACTGAAGTACTATTCCAACCCAGCTCAACACATATAGTTGAAGAGGATATCTTGGTGGATGGAACGGCTCTGAACAGAGTGGCTGACTTTACCTATCTTGGCAGCACTATATCAGATGATGCACATATAGACCAAGAGAGTACAAAATGAATGGCCAAGGCAAGCAGTGCTTTTGGGAGACTAAGAACCCGTCTCTGGAACAACCATCATGTCTCCATAAGAGTCAAATGCAAAATTTACAGGGCTATTGTAATATCGACCCTTCTATATGGTGCAGAAAGCTGGACACTTTATAGAAGCCAAGTCAAGAAGCTTCATACATTCATGATGAGACACCTACAACAGATCATGAGAAGTAATTGGCAAGACAGAGTGACCAACAAAGAGATTCTCCATCGAGCAGACCTGCCATCTATGGAGGACCTGCTCATCAGAAAGAACCTGCGATGGACTGGTCACATCATCAGGATGCCCACTGACAGGTTACCCAGACAATTACTCTTCTCACAGCTCCCAGTGGGTGAAAGAAAGATAGGTCGCCCACGACTCCGCTACAAGGATACTATCAAGCGGAACCTCAAAAAGAGGGAAATAAACATCAAGACATGGACAACACTAGCATACCAGCGAGCTAAATGGAGATCAGCTGTGAAGTAACCTATGAAGGCGGTCTTTGTCGCTTCGCGACCGACAGCTACTATATATATATATCTATATATCTATATATATATGTGTGTGTGTGTGTGTGTGTGTGTGTATATATATATGTATAATAATTGTATGTGTTTATATATATATATATATATATATATATATATATATATATATATATATATATATATATATATATATATATATATATATATATATATATATGTATATGTATATATACATAATTATATAGATATTTATTTATATATATACATAATTATATGTATAATTACATATATATATATATATATATATATATATATATATATATATATATATATATATATATATATATATATATATATGAATCATTATTATGTACTTTTTGTGTGTGTGTGTGTTTGTGTGTTTGTTTTGTTTTGTTGTTGTGTGCTGTTTCTCTCGTTTATTATTTCATGACATTTTGTATTCCACTACGACTTATTTATCATTTCCAAATTTAAGCTGTTCCATATTTATATTTTTAGTAAGTTAACCCATTGCCGCCGGGGATGGCATGTATGTACATGCCATGCCCACTGTGAGTCGACTTGTTCGATTGTTTTTACACATAGATGGCTACACTTGTACTAAGTACCCAATGAGCCAATTACGAGTACTGCCTGTCTCACCCGTTCACCCTTTTCATCGATTTACGAAGATATTTAACGTTATCCTAATTTGCTGTTAAAAATAATACCATCTATATTTATAGCACCAGTAAAAATACGTTTTTCCCCGCCAATTCAAGGAAAGGTGAAATCAGGACTAGCAGAACCATCTATGGACAGAGATATTTCACAAAAATATAAAAAATGAGTACTGCATTTCCCCCATTTTTTGTTCATTTTCCCCGGCGGCAATGGGTTAATTATTCCCCTGAATTAGGTATATAATATTTTTAATGTATTTGCTTTCCACCTTTTTCTTTCTTTCTTTCTTTCTTTCTCTCTTTCTATTCTTTTTTCCCCACACATCCTTAATTTTGCAAATTTCTTTTTTATTTCATTCCCTTGATTTATCAGAGAATGATTTCTTTTATTGTAATTGGGAGTCAGTCATTTCCTAAGTTGGCTTCTAGGTGACTTAATGTCAGTGATGCCAATGCCAAGTCTGTAATGGTTTCATTTACATTTTGTGTGTAATTTTTGTTTTATTTGCAGTCTTTCTCTTTCCAGTTTTGTATGGCTGACAACAAGGACTGGAGGAAATGTCAGACAGAAGTGAAGGATTTCCAGCAGTGCATTTCAGAATATAACAAGAATAAATCAAAATAGTTTGTCTTTCCGACATGAGTGTTATTGACTGAAATATTGTGCAAAAATACAAGAAAGACCATGGAGGACCTGAATGGAGAGCATTCAACTGTAAAATACTTTAACATTCAAAAAATTAGTCTTATGGTGACTAGTTTTTTAGCAGGGCTCTACATTGGAAGAAAGATGAGTAATACTGCGACTCGAGTGAAGAACCTCATTGTTACCGGACCCAGCAAGTTGGTGCTTGTTGTTCGGCATGATTTGAAAATGGGAAAAGGTACAGAGAGAGTTCAGAAAGGTTTCATTTCATTTACTTAACCATTTTCCCTTTTCTCTAAGTCTGTCCTAGTTCTCTGTTTCTCTGTTTCTGAGTATTAACTCTTATTTCACATCAGTCCTTTGTGTCTTGTCTGTCGGTCTCACTCACACATTCTTCCTTTCCTTTCCTTTTTTCTCTTATCCTCCTCTTCTCCATTCTGATTCTAGGATTTTCCTCTCCTCTCCTCTCCTTCCCTTCTTCTTCTTCAAATGCTTTGAATCTTCAGTGTCACAGGGGAGAATTGTAAATTATATATTCATTGTAGGATATAGAACCTGTGAAAAAGAGAATTGAGACATAAAATCAGATCAGCAGTTTTCAACTTCACCAAGGAAAACAAATGTGTGTGTAAACCTGCCCTCTCCACACTTCAAAATAATGTTTGCCTAATTGGTTGAGAGAGGAGCCCAAAAGTTAGTGAGATTTGATAAGATTGGGAGGGCTGCTGTAGGCCCCTGAAGATTTTTTTGCCAAATCATCCTAGACTATGCAGTTTGACAAAAGTTGTTTTCTGTAGCTCCTGCTCTGTTGATCTGCTCAGTTTTTATGCTATATTCCAAACTTGATCCTACTCAGCTTTTAGGGGTCAAAATCATTTAAACAATAATTAATAGATAGCATTGTGTAGTACTAAAGACTCACTATATGAAATAAGCCCACACATATTGTCCTGTACTAGTTGTTTTTTTCCTCTCACACTCCTCTATTTTACTTCCCACAACTTTAAAATTATATAGAGTAAGTACATATTCAGTCTACTGTACTTCCTTTTTTTTTTTTTTTTTTTTTTTTTTTTTTTTTTTTTTTTTTGGGGGGGGGGGGGGGGCTGGGGGGGCTAACAATTCAAGATAACACTATAATGTAAAATAGGCTTTGTTAGATTATTTTGCTCAGCTATAGGCTTTTGTGTGTTTTTACCATATATACCTTAATGCAACAGCTTAAATCTGCCTTCTAATTATCAGTCAATACATATTTTATTCCTTTTTCTTTAACTCTGTTCCTATCACAAACCAGGGAAAACAGCAGCCCAGTGTAGCCATGCCACATTAGCATCCTATAAGAAAATGCAGAAGATAAACCCCCACATCTTGCAAGCTTGGGAGGACCTTGGTCAGCCAAAAGTTGTTGTACGAGCAACTGACCTAAATCACATAAACCATTTATCACAGGTGAGTAAATTTTCTTCTCTTTAAAAGTTTCATTAATGCTAGGTACACTGGTACCATTTCTCATCATAATAGAGGTAGAAATAGGAGTTGGTGAGATTAATTCTTTTCAAGTAATTTTTTTTTGTCTCTCTCTAAGAGCTATGGTTGGTGGCAATAGTAGAAATATTTGTGTGCAGAAATGCATTTGTTGCTTTTTATTATATTAATTTTGTTTTAACAGTTGGCAACGGCAGCAGGAATAGAAACTACGCTTATTCATGATGCTGGAAGAACTCAGGTGGAAAAAGGTTCAGCAACTGTCTTAGCTGTAGGACCTGCATCTGTAACAGCTGTAGATAAAATTACAGGAAATCTTCCTCTACTCTAAGGTTTCCTTCCTTCTGGGTGATTTGTGATTTTCTTCTTTGTATATATGAATTTTTAAATAAACAGAAAAGATTTATTAACTTTTATTCAAAATGTTCTGAAACCTACATCCATGGAAAGAAATAAACCTGTTTCATTTTATATGACATGAATGATATAGACATTGCATTCAGTGGACAAGTAATTACGGCTTTGGAAAATAATGCGATTCCACACAATCCAAATTCAATTGAAGGTTTCGGTGAAAATTAAAGAGGTTCTCCACACATCTAATCCATGCGCAACTTTATGTTTTCTTCTGAAGTTCCATCCTTAGTTATGGTGTAAATAATGATGCCATCTCCTGTATTAATGTCACGCTCAGCAGCAGACACAAAGGAATCGTGAATCAGCTGGCGAGCAAGTTCCTGAAAAGAGTTCGAGTATTTTACTAGAAATATGACAAAAAATTAGCAAGTTCTTGAACAATGGGAATAATTAATCATACATTTCCTCAATGTTTATGAAATGATATATATGCTGATATCAAAGTATAGTTCCAATGATTTCATGTTAGTACACTATTTTTTGTATAAAGAATCATTTCATTATGTCATGGCTTAAACTTAATGTATAAAATAATAAGCGCAGAAGGATTCCCCCCCCCCTTTTTGCTTGAGCATCAATTTTAATAACTGTTATGTTTGTGAACATCTCCTGACAAATCCCACAGAGGGAAAATCTCATCTAGAACTAGATACTACCACAGATCTCCATTCGCTATGCCTTACCTTGGTCATTTTAGGAGGATCCACACCCTCCATGTTAAAGGCACCAACTTGATTGTCCAGGAAAGGCTGAATGAGTGACACAGATGCTCCTGCAGCACTGAAAGTCAGCTTCTCCATATGGCCTACTGGATCATAGTGATAAACAACTCCTTTGCCTGGTAAAAGGGGGAGGGGAATTAGTTATAAACCCTCATGCAGTAAGTAACAAATCAAAGACACTTTTTTCCCCAATTTTAATAGCATTCATGTTTTGAGAAACGGGCCACCAAAGTTTTCAAAAGCAAAAAATTTGGTAATACCAATAACTTCCTTTATAATAATCTTAACAAAAACCTATTCAATTGTAAACCAGGTTTTTCATCACAAGTTTTCTGGTTCATACTCTAAGGGCAATAGATAGCTGGGTAGTTTTCTTTCCAAGGCACACTATTTCTCATTAAGTATGATTAACCAAATGAACTACTGCATTAATACAATGACTTACAACCCATTATGGAAAAAAAGAAAAAAAAATAGATGTTTCAATACCCTTTTAGTACATCTTCAGCCCTGAAGATGAAATCCAAAAGCTGATTTTTCTCTCATTAACCCATTGCTGCCAGAAACATGTGCTGTAACCTGTAGCTTCCTACTGTGAAATATGTTTGCTCAAAAATGGCTCCACAAGCGGTCTGCCACCAAGGACACAATTAGTAGGCCTCCATAACACCTGATTTCCCCTTTCCTTGAGTTTAGAAACTTTTTTTTCTAAAGCTATTACAATTTGTGTTATTATTATTGACATTAAGATTATAATAATGTTATTAACAATACTACCATCAGTAAATAAAAATAATAAAAATAATAATAATAACAATAACAATAACAATAATAATAATAATAATAATAACAATAACAATAACAATAACAATAACAATAACAATAACAATAACAATAATAATAATAATAAACCTATAAAAAGGTTAAGAAGGTGAGCTAGGTAGGATTAGTAACAGACTCCCTGGTGATTCAGCACTTGCAGAACCATCTATGTGTAAAGACAATCAATAAAAAAAGAAAACACAGTGGGAATGCATTTTTG